GGACGCCCCTGCAACGGTACACGCATCACGTGATCGCTGCATGATTTAATTCAAAGAGCAAAGGAGATACCGCGTGCATTTGTTTACAAGGACTCTCTCGTCTCCGCGAACGGACTGTAAGTCATTTAAGCATATGAACATATCTACTATGTAAGCTAATCATGACAGCTAGGATGAATCTTCAAAATAATTTTTTAATTTAAATGAAGATTACAATAGAAATGGCTGTACTTATGTGAGCAGTTCAAATAAATGAGTAAGTACTTTACCCCTTAGCAATCACCTTACTTCTTAAATTCTATGAAGCTGCAAATGAGTAGTACCCATTCCTTCATACAGTACTCCCCCCCCCCACACTGCATTCATGGGTCTAATTTTTATGAAATTAACAGCTTTCACAGCAGTATCCAAAACATACTTAATTTCCAAATGCTACATAAAGAACCTGTCTGACATCAGCAACCACTTGGCAAAGCAAGCTACTAATTCGCTGTGCCTTCCTGTCACTACTGTTGCAAAGTAAGTGCAAATTCAAATGCAATGTTGCCAATCAGTATATGAAAAAATTGAGCAGAGGTTATTGTTCTTTTTAATGGATGACAGTACAAGATATCTTCAAGTAGTGTTCCCTCCCATTCATATCTGATACATCTGTCATGTTAGTCATCTCATCTAATTGCAGAGCAAAAATACTTGCTATTGCATACAGGTTTTACTAAATTATCTTTAATACTGATATCCATATCTTTGGTTTTGTGTGACACAGTATTATTTGACTGAGGCACACTATATAACCGTTTCATAGTCTTTTCTCCATATATGATAAATGTAAGTTCTCTGGCTGCAAGAAAAATCAGTTCTTCTCCAAGAGTATGAGGTTTGCCCATTGTGAAGATACGAAGCTTCAATGTCTTACTACTTGTGGATGCAAAAAATATTAATTTTTGTTGTTTCACATCATTGAGTTTGAACTTAAAAAATACATAGGCTTACAGGTTTATTCTGAAAGGGTCTTCAAGTTATGCTGAAGAGTTGCAGGTTTCAAACTTTGGAATATCAGCAATGCACAGCATAATACACACTGCAGTCTTGATTAATTCTGTACATAAATGCACAAGAAGACAAAAACAATATAGTTTCTATCATGCTGTCTCAAGAGTCCTCATAATTTAGGTGCACTTTCATTGCAAGTACCTCTACTGGCTCATATCTGGGAAGTATTTGGCCCACACATGTCCTTTGTTACTATATCTTCCTTTAGTGCTGTCTCATTTTTGTTTCTGAACTCCTTGTTGATTCTGTCATTTTCAAATTCATCATTTATTACTTTCCTTTTTTATGTTTTCTGTCTTTAATAAATCTGCTTCATGCTGGTTTCTTGCCTGGCTTATTCTTTGACAATGAATATAGAGGAGACATGTTCTTCCTCCATGGTCAAGTAGTACACTACTACTGTAGACGAAGGCCGCGCCACAGCTCAGGCAGTTAGTTGCTGGCTTGCCACTGTGGTGGCCTGGGTTTGAGCCTGGGTGTGCTCATGTGGGATCTGTGGTGGATGAAGTGACACCTAGGCAGGTTTCCTCCGAATACTTCAGTATCCCCTACGAATCTTCATTCTACCAAACTGCTCCACAATCACCATCATCTATCATCTGGGGCTGGTACAACAGGCCTCTAGTGGTTGCAGTACCAAGTGGACCCAGTGTCACCCCATTATGAATACAAAAAAGAAAATACTACTACTACCACCACTGCAGATGAGCTATATTACAATACAGATGCTACTCTTTCTAGCACACACATGAAAGAGTAAACATGTAGATACATTATTTCCTTAATACGAGGGTAAGTCAATAAGTAAGTTACCAATGGATATAGAACTTAAACAAATAAGAGTACTGATTTGAGAAATGCTTTTATTTCTCAACATAATCTCCCTGTACACTGAGGCACTTGTCCCATCATTTCACGAGCCCCTGAAAACCAGCAGCATAAAATTCTTTGGGCTGCTGTCGGAATCAGGCAGTGACTTCCCTTTCTGCAGCTTCATCATCAGGAAAATGTTCTGCCGAAAGATGACATTTAAGAGGGCCAAACAAATGGAAGTTGCTTGGAGCAAGGTCGGGGCTATACAGAGGATGCTCAAGGACTTCCCACTTGAAATTTCGCAGCGTCTCATTTGTCTTGGTGGCAGTATGGGGACATGTGTTCTCATACAAGAGCAACAAGCCTTTGGTGACGAGTCCTGGTCACTTCCGTTGAATGGCCTTACGAAGTTTCCTGAGAATGTTGAAGTAGGAGTCAGCATTTACAGTTTGTTCTTGATGCTGGAATGCAGTGAGCAGTATGCCTTCATGATCCCAGTCACTGCCTGGTTCCGACAGCAGCCCAAAGAATTTTATGCTTCTGGTTTTCAGGGGCTTGTGAAACGATGGGACAAGTGCCTCAATGTACAGAGAGATTATGTTGAGAAATACAAGCATTTCTCAAATCAGTACTCTTGTTTGTTTAAGTTCTATATCCATTTGTAACTTACTTATTGACTCGCCTACGTACAAATGAAAGTGAAAATTAAAAGAATAAAATATATGGTATATCATAGGTGAAATGAGAAAGAATAATTAAACAGATACATGCCAAACAGATTTACTTGAATTTGAGGTTCCCACAGTTGTGAATATTACAAGTTCTATCTTCTGGGATTTAATGTCATGTAATCCAGTGAAAGCTGACCAACATTTTGAAAGTACATATTACCTCAAAATTCAGAGTTGAAGAGTAAGCCAAGCATGACGCAACCAGAGCTGGTTTCTTGCTTTGCTTTCTCTTCAACATTGAAGATGGATGTGGTATTTACAGGGAGGATTTTTACTTTGTTGACCGGCTCCACGGCTCTGTGATTCACAGAGACCTGTGTACCGCTAACTGCAAGGCACATATGAATTTTGCCAATGAATCAGAATGCCTGATGGCTGATAACGTTTGCAACGAAGGGAAGTAATTAACCTGTGGGCTGCTTGACAGCATTATGTTTCATGGCAAGCAGTGCAGTTCATGTGTGGGAGTTTGTCACTTGTCAGCAGTAGAAAGAATTTATTAGCTTCATTAGCCATTTGTTCTCAGTTACAGCTAGTGGGCAGTGTGGTATACTTTAGAGCAACATGTATTTCTGCATGACACCTATGTGAAATATGGTCCTGCTAGAAAGGGCTGCCAAAGATTTAATGAGAAAAGAGTTCCCCATAAACAAACAATTCATAATTTAGTGATTAAACATAAATCAACAGGCCATTTAATGGACAAGAAACACAAATTTAAGTGTTGAGTGCTTACTGAGAAGCTAGAAGACACAGGGGCCAGACTTGAACATACACCTACAAAATCACTGAAAAGTCTAGCTCAAGAGACTGGAATGTCAGAGTCTAGTGCAAAAATGGCAACACAATTGCTTAAGCTTAGACCCTACAAAACAGCAGTAATCCATGCTTTACAGCCACGTGATCCAGCTAGCAGGGTTCATTTTTGCAGTTGGTTTCTACAGTCTGTCACCAATGGTGAGATCGATCTTTTCTGATGAGGCATGGTTTCACTTGCAGGGATACATAAATATGCAAAATAATTGCTACTAGAGTTCACAGAATCTACATCTAACCCATGAAGTCCCGCTCCATTCAGTAAAAGTTGGTATCTGGTGTGCTGTAAGTGCCAGATGGTAAGACCTATGTTCTTTTAACAACACAATTCATTGTGAAAGATATGTACAGGTTATTCTCAGAAAATTCTTCCCCATGGTTTCAGCAAGACTCACCTACTGCCCACACTGCACGTATGTCTATGCAAGTTTTGTCTGATGTCTTTGGGGACAGAATTATCAGCAGTGGTATTTGGCCAGCATGTTCACCAGACCCTAATCCTTGTGATTTTTACTTCTGGCATTGTTTGAAGAACAAAGCTTACAACAGTAACCTCAAATAGTAGAAGAATTAAAAGAAAATATTTTTAGCAAAATTGCAAATATTCCTGTGGAACAGCCTCAAAGGGTAAATCAAAACCTCTTCAGCCAGTGCAAAGAATGTCTACAAGTAAAGGGACAGCGTTTTCAACAACTCCTGTGATCTGTGAACAAAGTACGAACTTCCCTTATTCCAAACATTATTGGCTATCAGGCATGCTGATTCATCAGCAAAATCCATATGTGCCCCACACCAAGTGGCACACAAGCCACCATGAAGTGCATAGCCAAGTATCTGGTCAACAAAGTAAAAATCAATCAATCAATCAACCAACCAATCAATCAATCAATCAATCAATCACTCAATCAGTTTATTTGTTCCAAGGATCCATATTTGGAGATAAACCTCCGGATATAGAACAAGTCAGTCTCCTTCCTGTACTTCTGAAATGCCAGTTGACTTCCATTGAACTACACAGCATTATATCCAAGAAAACAGAGCTTTTCAGATTTATTTGAATGCTGCACAATGCAAAACAAGAATACAGCAACAGACCTGTACATCAGCAACCTGAACATAACAGTAGCTGAACAACTTCCCAGCAAGAAGACAGGTATTGTAAAACATCTTATACATATACACACATACACATTTTTAACAAATACACATTTAAATCTTGTCTTCAAGTTGCACTTTTTTTCCTGAAAAATCTTGGGAAGTGTGAATCACATAAAATTTGAAAGGTAGCTTGATTAGGTAATTCTGTTATAATCCCTGTTCTAGGAGTGGCACATAAATGATACATAGTGAAATTCATGACTTGACTTTTTACAAATGTCTAAGATAGGCATGAGTATAATTTGTTGCATGTGCATAGATGGACCTTGTTCTTCAAAAATGATTTGTCACTGGCATACTTCTCCCTCTTCTGTAAACCACATTTCAATAAGGGAATGAATAATGAAATTAATCCCATTCTAATTATACACAAACACCAGGGAGAACATAGATAGTAAGAAGTGTTTAGGGATGATGATGGATACTCACCATATTCCTGGCACTGGGTATAGATGCTGAAGTAAACTTATAATCAGAATCACTGGCTGCACTAACAAAACCTGTTCCTGAGGAAAGTGATGATGTTGGTTTGGCTTTGTGAAGTATCTTAAGAGCACAGTCGCTCTCAGTTAACTGGCATTCTGGTACTGAAAAAATACCCATGGTCACATCAAAACACATGTTAAACTCTTTCACCACAGGCATACCATGTATAGTTGTTTACAGTTACTTCTTACAAACATAAAACTGCATAAATCTGCACAGCATTTTTTATTTCAATCAACAGTATAATAGGAGATTAGTTCTTTGCATGCACATTCCAAAATTAGTATGTAGGGTGTCCCCAATCAAACAAAAATTCATTTGTCGTCCTTCCAAGGCCCGATAGCGTTTCAGTTCACTTCCATGTCTATCTGCTCATGGCCTAAATGTCCATCATGTTGTCAGATTTGTCTGCACATACCTCCTGAGACTGCATAGTTTTGTACTGTCTTATCCGTCAGTGTATCAATTTGACTATAGGATGGATGGCCAAGGAGCTGGCTTCAATTCCCAGCAGGGCAAGAGATTTCTGTCTTCTCCATAGTAACCAGACTGGCTCTGGGACCTACCTAGCCTCCTGTACAATGGGTACCAGCAGGTTTATTCCCAGGGAGGGGTGTGAGGTCAACCACTCACTTCCATCTACTGCCTAGGTCAAGAATGGTGAAACTATACCTCCACTCCCCCATATTCCTTCATGGCACAGTACCTAATTACAGAATTAAGTATAGGGATAAATTTACCTTTATCCCATGTTCACCACAGTAAACTTACCCTCTGTTGCAGGATGACACATATTTGTCAGCATGTGTATTGCCTTTCCATGCTACTGCTATCAAGCCACCCTGAACATCAGTCTTTGTGCTATCCTGGTTCATTTTGTTTTCTTCCAAAATCCCCCGGCATTCCTTTTCTATTTGGTCTAGCAGTACCACAGTAGCCTATAGTCTTAGTCTATGTTTCAGGATGAGAAGAAATTACCCATGAAGAAGTTTTGGCCCATATTTTCATTCCCTGCAGTCACTTCTATCACAACCGTATACGTGGCTGTCACTACAGCAGTCACAAGCTTCCTGTGTTTCCATAAATATACAGTCCTGTTGTATGTACATCCCTTAAAATCATAAAGCTTGTAAATTTTCACTGGGTCCACGGTAAAGCTGTGGACTACAGGACATGAAGGTCAACTGTGGGTACAGTCGCCCACTGCGTAGTCTGATTTATTGTCATTGTCATTGTCAATGTGGGTGGCATTTATAGATGGACAAAAGTCATCTTCATATAACTTTTTGCCTGAATCACTGTCTAAAATCAGTTTTTGTGCTATGTCTTGTTCCTGAAGTCTCCTCTTCAAAGTCATGTCTTGCACTCAAAGGGAAGAAAATGAACTGTATCACATGGTTACTGTAAATGTAACTGAGGTCTGCAAACAGCCTCAGCAAAAGCTAATCGCCTGCCCATGCAAGGAACAAATAAATATTTTGTCGTGTGTGTTAAATTTGACTCAAAGAGTGCCAGTGACTGGAAAATAGGCACAAATATTGCAATGCACAAAACTTAAACATAAATTCATAAAGTTAAAAAGTAATAAAATAAAAATATTCATACAATTGCTGTTACCAGTTACTGCTTGTTATTACTGATCACAAAACAAAACAAAATAGCAGTAATTTCTTTTGTTGCTCACTCTAATTCAGGGAATTCCCAGATAGTTCCTTTTGCAACTGAGCTATCCTACAGTAAGTGGTGTAGGTTGTAAGACTGTTTCATAGTCATGGATTCTAAAAATAACATGCAATTGCAAATCTCAGCAGAAGAAAAAAGAAATGTTTATGCACCCATAAATTTCAGACCTCTCTCAAAACACACAACTGTTTTCAAATGGAGTCACTAGTATGATGCATAAAGCTCAGTTATCACATACAGTTCTGTTCAAATGACTGTGGCATACATTTCCCAGTAATTACTAACAAAAAAATCTTTAAAAAAGTCAATACATCAAAGTAGCTGCAAGCAAATCTAACCAAAACTGCATACACAAAAAGAGTTGTTTAAAAACTCCATACCTAGTATTAATTCACTGTTAACAATCCAGTTTTTATTTAAAAACAACAGCCTAAAAGGTATATTGTCTCATGTATGACTATAGACAGGATTTGGATTGGTAACTGGATTTCTTTAACTCTTACAGAATGTAACTCCAAGTAACTATAGCACTATCACTAATTTGCACACTCTACAATTGACTACAGCATGCACTAAGTCTTCTCAGTCTGCTGTATCTTCACCAGTTGTTGACTAGCAATTGCTTCCAGTGTTGTAGCTTCCTCAGCTTCCATGTTCATGTCCCTACTGGCTGGTGACTGTCTCACAACTATTTTTTTCCTTTAGTTTCTTGGGGTGGGGTGAGACTGAGTCCACTTGGTATGTTCATCACTAATTGGCCTATTGTACCAGCCCCAGATGATTAATAATAAATGTGGAGCAGCCAATGGAATGAGAATTGGCAGGGGAAACCGAAGCACTTTGAGAAAATTTGCCCCAGTGCCACTTTGTTCACCATATATCTCACATGATGTGACCTGGGCTTGAACCCAGGCCATTACAGTGGGAAGCCAGAGACTAACTGCCTAAGCTATGGCATGGCCATGTCTCACATCTAACTTCTACCCTTCTAACTGCCATTCAAAGACTCTGGACTCTCATAATTACATCTGTTTCCTGTTATATAGCCTTGGCACGCACTGCAAAGAAAACACCTCCTCCAACAGTTCCCTTACTGTTACATCGTGTTGCTGGCACACGGACAGCACAGACAACACTGCTTCCCAGTAACTCCAATGGTGTGTGTTATGAATCTGTTCCCCAGCAATGGTTTGCACAAGTAAATTTAAATTGTATACATTAAAGGTTAAAAGAGAAGAGAAAAACTGTTTGGAAAATGAGAACTCCAGGTTAAGCGACACAGAGATAGGTCTCGAGTTGGCTGGGTGACCACATAATTTGACTCTGCCCTCCTACTGCATAGTGCACCAACAGGATAAAGCTTCACACTGACAAAATGATATATACAACTGTGACATATGGTCACTCACAACATCGATCCTCACGGTGGAGATGGAGAAGATTTTTGAAATGATGATTTCTATCTCAACATTCATAAGGCTGATTACCTGAGATGATTTTAGTGCACTGCATTATGTACTTTCACACAATAAATTCAGAGACTAGAGTTCATCTGAATTTCACATATGTGGTACAACATTTTGGAATTAGCACTCACCATCATCATATACTGGTGGTGATGCTGAGGTCCTGCTATCAGGTAGTGGTGGTGTAGCAGTAATCCTGGTATCAGATATTGGTGACACTGATGATAACCTCTTACCATGTATAGGTGGTACTGCAGGAAACCTTTTATCAGATGTTGGTGGCATTATGGAAATCCCATTATCAGGAATTCGTGGCATTACTGGAGCTATATGATCTGGATGGGTAACCACACTAAATCTACCTCGCTTTACAGCTGTTGTGGTTATTGGTTTATCACTTGTGTCGGAATTCCAGGAGGCCTGCGATGACCCTGAAGGAAACAGGAGATAGATTAAGTTACCTTCACAGTGTGATTATATATTCATTATCTAATAAGTTTAACAGATATGGTATGCTGTCACTTAATAAAGCACATTCAGTCTCATCCTAATGTACTTCTTCTGAATGAAAATCCTTCTTCACTTAAGTTCTCAGAAGTCTCTTTGCATATGAGCAATAAAACACTCCCAGCATTATGTATGTTACTATGTACATGGAAAGGCCGTGCCATAGCTCAAGCGGTTAGTCGCTGGCTTCCCACCGTGGCGGCCTGGGTTTGATCCCAGGTCTGGTCAAGTGGGGTTTGTGGTGGACAAATTGGCGCTGGGGCAGGTTTCCTCCGAGTACTTTGGTTCTCCTGCCAATCTTCATTCCACCAATTGCTCCACAATCACCCTCACCTATCATCTGGGGCTGGTACAATAGGCCAGAAGTGGCCGCAGTACAAGGGACTTAGTCCCACCCCACTAGCAATAAAAAAAAGGTACATGGAAAAGACCAAAATATGCAACAGAACTCACCTGATACAGCCACATCCTCTTGCACAACGCTAACTTGGAACCTGGATATTCTTTTTATAGTTAAACTGTCATCAGCCTTTTTTCCTTGCTGTAACTTCTGTTCCTGCTGTTTTTCATCTAATAACTTCATTTTCTCTTGTGGCTTTCCTCTCACAAATCCTTCATCTTTTTCTGCATGATTTGAATCTGAAGCTGGCAATTCTACAGTATATGGATCTGCAGTTTGTGTTTCACTTTCAGAGGTTACTGTATGAGAAATAACAAACTCCTGGATATCCTCTGCAGTTTCCTTGTTATAATCCAAACTCCTTGTTAGATTCTCTAAAGATTCACAACGATTCCCCATTACATTAGCTTCATCTGGAGTGGTGTTTACACTGATGTCAGTAACTGAAACCAAGTTTGGTTGCAGAACAGCTGTAGGGAATATTGGTGTATTTGTTGGCTGAACAGGTGTGGGTACTGCCAAGGGTACAGTAGTCAGCAGTTGTGCCATGGGCTGTGGTATTACCTGCACAGAGTAATTAAAAAAAAGCAGTATCTCAATTTAAGATTTCTCCAAGCAGCTATTCTTACTTTTTGTTCCATAATGTGTCAAAATGAGAGAGAAATATCTTATGATGTTTCAAGAACATCTTGGCTTATCTCATCAACCATTTTTTAATATCCCATATGTGTATGACAACAGAAATGTTTAACATTAGAATGTGGCCACTGATAAACTAAATTGCTCCTTGTAACCCACATGTGATTTTACACAGCAAATAACTGGTATGATACACTAGTATTCTAGTAACACACAGAAGACTGTGGCACACAATTCCCAAAATAAACAACAAAGAAACTATTAAAACATGTGAACATAGTCAAAGTATGTAACTGTATAGAAACATAAACAACACTGATAAAATCAAGGTGGTTGTTTCAAAATGTCATACACAGGCAAAAGATTCATTCCCAAGAATCTAATTTTTAATGTTTTATTAATTTAAATGTATTAACCATTCAGCATGGTTTGACGTGTATGTTTCGTCAGGTATTTAAATCGTCTGCGGGGGTTCGACGTCTATGTTTCGTCCAGCTGCACACCTATGTTATAACGCCCATAATAATTGATGGTTTTGCTGTAGATTGTTAGATTTTTCGCTGGCCTGTTGTCAGGACAGTATATAATGAGGCACGAGTTTTTCTGCGCTAAGTCATCGTTACATATGCCTGTCTTGCAGCAAAATCGTGTTGCGCTTGGAAGACATTTCCTCATTCAAACTGTTATCGATGGCGTGTTTTCTTTCCTATGAAGTTATAAACAGCAGAGACGTGATATGTGCTGTGTTTATAATATCATATTGCCCTGAGCTGGCCACACTAACACACTCAATTGGAATTCTTAGAAGAGGGATGTCCAAAAATTTATTCTTGCAAGATCGATTGATTTCGCACAGTACATAGCAGCNGAATAACTTCATGAATTCTGTGGTCACCCCTACGACATCTCCTGCCGCCAAAATGGATGGAATATCAAAGGCATAGCAACAACCCCTTGTTATGATAACTCGTAACGTTGAATTTACTACAGCTGACCTGGCAAATAAACGGGTCACGGAAAGACATTTCCTTGAACGTATACCCCTCACGGAGAAGAAGGCAAGGCCGCACAGAAGATGTGTGGTTAAAAAAAAGAGCCAAAGGAAAGATACACAATATTGGAGCGGTGAATGTGGGGCAGCGTTGGGTTAGACGAATGCTTCAAGGCCTACATTACACTGCTCAAATTCTAAACCAACTGCTTCCATTGCCGAGATACTGGGTGCTCATATTATAAGGTAAGGTTATAAAAACCATCTTTTAAGATCATTTTAGTGAAAGTTTCATGCTTCAAGGCGTACCATTCACTGCTCAAATACTAAACAACCTGCTTCCATTTCCGAGATACAGGGTGCTCATATTATAAGGTAAGGTTATAAAACCACCTTTTAAGATCATTTTAGTGAAAGTTTCATGTTCCTATCTCATATAATTTAAGAACAATGATGAATAAATCATTTTTGAGCAAAATTTAAATGGCCAGCTGAATATATTACCGCTGGAGAGACGGCAGCGGAATTTAAATAACCGCGCGAAAGGGTTAAATAAAAATTATATGATGATATACTGCAGAATTTGGATAGAAAATATTCCATAAATTTTATATCATTAAAACTGAATGCTTCTTTCATTTACATTTTCACTATAAACATCTAATGCTGCATAACTGATACATTACCTGTGTTGCAGCAGTTGGCCCCAACTGTGCACCACTTGGTGCCTGATTCAAAGCAACGTGACGATGGCCAGTATGTATCTTTGCCAATTCCTGAAATGGAAATTTGTCACATATTTATACTATTCAAATATTATACATTATATACATCTTTCTCAGCCTGGATCACTTGGGGAATGGTGGACAGAAATGCATAGTCCTGTCCCTGAATGGACCATGTGGCAAAGAGTTGGCTGTCATCACAAGTCATATTGATTGTCACTGGTCCTTCCGTACAGTGCTTTCATCTGCTTTATTATGTTCATGGCTAGGTACCATGAACAGCTTAGTGGGAATCCAAAATCCCTGTTAGAGCTACCAGGATACAGCTGGATCTTAATGGTTTCCTTCACTGTGTGGTTCATGCAGTTTAATGACCTTGCCAGTACCATGGTCTTCCTGAAGTTTATTGTATGAGCTGCCTTGATGCTACACTCTGACACTACTAATTTATCTGGTTTGTACAGTCATATGAGCTGCCCAGATTAGTTACACCTTGTGTCAATGGTGTGTGGGCTATTTTTCCAACATACACCCTGCAGCATACACAACATTCACACGGGATATAGTACACACATAAGACTCTAAGGCCAAGGTCTTATTTCATTAGTCTAAAGAAAGCAGACATTCCATTTTGTTGTAATGAGTATAGTTTTCATGTTAAATTGGGTCAGAAGCCAACTGATACTGTTTGAGGTGGTATGCATATAGAGTATAGTGGTCACTCAAGCTGGCTACCCCAGTTATGAGAGAGGCTACAGTTTAGGGTTCAGGGCGAAGTGGGTGTCCAATACACTGTAGCCATTTTGCCTGAAATATAGTGTACAGACACAACACTCATCACATCAACACCATATGATAGCAACAGAGAAAGCCCCTCAAATGTCAAACACCAAATCCATACTGACATGGCTGACTGCCTGAGAAGACATAATTTTTTAATAAAAAACAGGCCGTGGCGGTCCATAGGGTTGTGAGAGGTTGAGGCTCCCACACCTTCTAGAGAATTGGCTCACAGATGGTGGTGAGGTTGTCAGCCTTATGCACCGGCTGCCCTTTACTCTCCAGGAAGATTCCTGGTGCTCATTTCTGTTAGAGGCTGAGTCGACCACAGGGCCATATTGTGGTTGGAAGGATTAGGTAAACTGAAAAATAAATCCATCTCATCAGGACTCAAACCCACAACCTTCTGGCCTGTAGCATAGTGCCTCAATCAACTATGCTACCATGTACCACTTTCAAATAATGAAATAATATATTAAGAAGGGCTGCGCCATAGCTCAAGCGGTTAGTCACGGGCTTCCCACTGTGGTGGCCCGGGTTTGATCACGTGTCTGGTCAAGTGGAATTTGTGGTGGACAAAGTGGCACTGGGGCAGGTTTTCTCCGACTACTTCGGTTTCCCCTGCCAACCTTCATTCCACCAATTGCTCCACAATCACCCTCACCTATCATCTGGGGCTGGTACAATAGGCCAGAAATGGCCGCAGTACAAGGGACTTAGTCCCACCCCACTAGCAATAAAAAAATATATATTACTAACACCTATACCTTTTCTATTAGATTTTAATTTATATATACTGCAAAAGGACCAAAGATAAACGCATATGGTGAAAGCTGTTATCACCTGTTCAAGATCATGAAGGTCAATGGCTGCTGGTCGTGGCCTCAGCTGACGCTGAACTTCTTCCTTTGATGCTATCTGGCTAGGTGACATGATTCCACTACTGTTATTACTGCTATCCATGAGGGGTGTTACTGACATCTGAAACCCCAACACATTCTACAATAATACAAGTTTAATGGTATCACAAACATAAAACTTTATTTACACACAGCAATGAAAGTGATCTGTATTTTAATAACATAATTAATTGATGACAACCAAAAATAAAATGCACCTTAGGAAAAAAAACTGGGGTGATGTGCAATGGACAGAATTGACCTGGGTTTGATGAGAAGGCTGTGCCACGTTTCACACTATTGCCATGTCTGTGCAGTGACAAATGACATGTGATGCAAGTTACAAGTGACTACCTGTTCCATGTCCTTATTAAATCACTATGTTTGTGTTGCTTTCTGAATCTGCTGAAAACTGAACTGGCAAACAGCTTTACTGTATTTTCTGGTTACGATTAATTATAAGTGACTGCAAGTTACAAGCACTTATTAAGTCACCATGTTAGTGTTCATTCATGAACCTACTGTAAATTAAACTGGCAAACAGTTTTATTTTAATTTCTGGTTGAGATTCATTTTTTATGATGACGAGTGAATCAAAGAAGAGAAAAGCATTCCCTGCTCATGAAAAAAAGAGACATTCTAGACCAAGTGGATGCTAATACAGAAACACGTGTTGCAATAGCTGCCAGATTATAAACTGCATCATCAACATTCAACATTTTGTTAAAAACAGGAAAAACAGTGAAAAGTGTTAAGCACAATGTAGCAGTTCTCTGGTCAAAGGAAGTGCCTGAAACAGTCATCACTTCAAGAACAGGAGAGTCTGCTGGATCCATACTTTAACAAGCTAGGGGGCAGCAATGCAGTTGCGGGATTGTCGATGTTCTAAAAGACAACCACATAAATCTGTAACAATTGTATATATTAAATGGTATAAACTGAAAGTACAGAATAGCTGCGAAGCTATGTGGAATGTCAAAAGTTGGCTGGCCCTGAAAAGGGCAGTTTGTTCCACTGTGAGTGCGCTGGTAGAATTTGCTCCTTTGTAGAAGACCTCAAGTCTTTACAGCCATTCAGCTGGTTTGGCTGGCCGATAATGTGGTGTTGCATGCGCCTGTAGGAACAGCTGCCTATGGCGCCGTTGCTGGAGAGTTGCGGCAACTACGTTAGCTACCTGGTCGCAGAGCAAGGTTGCTGGAGAGTTGCGGCAACTACGTTAGCTGCCTGGTCACAGAGTGAGGTTGCTGGAGAGTTGCGGCAGCTACGTTAGCTGTCTGGTAGCGGAGTGTGGTTGCTGGAGAGTTGCGGCAGCTGTCTTTGGCGCAGGGAAGAACTGACGACTCTGATGACTGCAAGCTTTAGGCTTCGCTTTTATACAATGCTTGCTGGGTGGAGCTTAAACTTGCAGTTATGACTGCGAGCGCTGATTGTCTAGCGCACGTGATGATCTTCAGGTGGGCTGGACATCTAGTGCTGTATATATATGAGTGGTGGCAGCAACATGCGGCAATGTGATATTGACTAGGAGCGAGTGCTGTCTGTTAGACCGGCAAAACCGCGTGTTAGTATGTGCGATGTTCCCACACAGTAATCAGTGGCACACTGCTGAGAGTAAAGGCTCTACACATTGCCACAAGGTTCAGCATCAAAGATCTTAAAGCTTATAACGATTGGATCAATAGTTTCAAGCAGTTACACAATGTTGTATACAAAACTATATTGGAGGAGTGGAAAAGTGTAGACTCTTCAACAATGGGGAATGGAGAAATGACCAGTTACTCAAACTATTAAGGATTATGGACCTAAGAACATTTAACATGCTGATGAGACTGGGCTGTTCTTCATGCTTTTGCCTAACAAGACTGAGCTTGAAAGGGGATTCTTGCAATGGTGAAAAGTATTCCAAGGAAAGGATAAGAGTTCTGTTGACCTGCAATGCTGATGGGACTGACAAAATCCCATCGTTAGCTTGTGTGAAGAGCGAAAACCCCCATTTCTTTGAAAATGTCAGAAAGCTGTTCATAAAATATGCAGCCAACAGAAAAGCATGTGCTACACAGGCTATATTTACTAACTATTTAAGGGCATTAGATGCTAAAATGAGTTCCGAAAACAGAAAGATTTTACTTTCCACAGACCAGTGTTCTGCTCATCCCCAGTACACTAGCTAACTAAAGAATGTGAGAGTTGTGTTTTTCCCTCAAAACCACACCAGCACTGTCCAACCACTTCACAACAGAATCATCAGGTCTTTCAAACATTATTACTGGAAACAACTCATAACAAAAACTATTTCCATGATTGATCACTGGCTGCTTCATGATGTAACACTCATGAAAGTAAATGTTTTGGGTGCACATTTCATTGCTGAACTATGGTGCTGTCTCACACATACAACAACGATGACCTGTTTTCAGAGATGTGCACTGAATTTAAATCACATGCTGGAGAAGATGTAACAGAATTTAGCATCACCAAACAAGACTGAGGACAGCTAAAAGTAGGCATAACATTTCAAGAATATTTATTCTGTGATAATGAGGTGCAGATGTTACAACTAAATGGATATAAAGTTTACATTTTATATGTCTGAGAAGGGTGGAGTAAGATGTTGGTGGAAATAGTGAACCTCCTTCAACATTTCTGCCAGCACTAGACGGCATTGATGCTATGAGGAAATACCTCATGAAGGTGATGTCAATTATTACACCATGGCTGCCCTCAGCAATACTGAGAACAATGTGTACAGATCTCAGTAGAAAGTGAAGAAGCAGCAACTTATTTTAATGGCCACGTGGAAGAAGTGAAACAGATTACATTTTTAATGCAATACACTGAATTAGATTACACTTTTAATGTAATACAGTATTATGCCCTCAGCAGTACTGAGAACAAGCCAAAGAACTAAATATAATACATAACAAAGACCCCTACCTGTTGAACAGGTCCAAGGACTGCCAAAGGCTGAACTATGATTGGCTGATCAGCAGGCAACACTCCTATACCATCAATGCCCATCACTCCTGTCGGCAACAGTGGCTGAGACAAAACATCAACCGCAGTAGGCACTGCTGAACCACTGGCTACAGTTGCGTGTAATGTGCTCTGTGGGGATAGGGGACCCTGCAGTAACAATGAAACACTGCCACATCATGTGAAAACAATAACATTTTAATCATATAACCTTAAAAGAAAGCATTAAAATAAAACAAAAAAGAACTAAAGGTGCAAAAAAAGATATTACTGAATTATAACAAGCATGTCAAAAGGATTACTTTTTTACATTGAATATGACCTATACAATGTTATTTTGTTTCACATATTAGAGAGCAATATGATGTCCTCTATACAGCAATTCACTATGGATATACCATATGAAGAAGGTAAAGCTGCCTTTGTGCTTAATTAAGTACCACACCATAATGAGGGATGCGGAAGTGGAAGTACAGAGCCATGGATTCTGAACCTTGGAAACAGATGCAGATGTATGGCCAGCTTCACACTCCAGTCATTTCCCTCAAGAAAATAACAATGGAATCCTCCTATTTACTTCAGGCTTTACAACATGAAAGCTACAAAATATCAATTAACATACTGACTGTAAACTTTAGACTCATTATGCTTATTTCTTTTTCACATGCAATGAAATTCCTAGGGTTAATTTGCACTCTTACAGTTTCCTTTTTCACCACAGACAGCTTACTGTTGCTGTATTTTACTTCAGTCAGATCTAAGCCTGAGTATGCCTCTGTCACATGGAACTCTATTCCAATTACTGATTTGAATAAACTTTAGCATACAAAGAAAACCTGCAGCTCTCTGCCACTGTAGATTTTTATAATTTAGTAGAAAAAATATATTTACAGACACTGCATGCATAGTAAGACATTGGAACAAAGAAAGCATATAGTAACCACTCAATATGGATGCAAAACTCCCTTCAACACCATACCAAGATTCAAACCATGCACAGGAACTTAAGTTTCATATGTAAATTGCCTCTAAATACTTAAAACAAAAAACGACAGATCAAAGGAGACAATACATTAGGTGTATGAAGCTTGAGCTGGCACAAAATAATATGTGCCATAAATACAGAAAAACCTAAAATGTGGATCCTTTAATTTTGGCTTTCACTGTAATTTTACTTACTCATTTGAACAAAACTGAGAGTTACAGTCCTTAAGCACACCTTATAACTATGAAAAACATTTCTCATAATGAAAACTAGTACACAGAAAATCTTGAAGAATTGGAAATAACTTACAAGTGAACTAGAGATTCTAGTAATAGATGCACATTACTCTGAAATGGTAAATCTGCCTACAAGACTACACTGTATCACAACACGCGATGACCACAATCTGGAAAACATTTCTTGTTAAATATGAAGAACCTAATGAAAATATCCTCTAATACACTTCTGAGTAAATGAAGAGGGAGGCCGTGCCATAGCTCAAGCGGTTAGTCCCTGGCTTCCCACCGCAGCAGCCCAGGTTCGATCCCGGGTCTGGTCAAGTGGGATTTGTGGTGGACAAAGTGGGGCTGGGGCAGGTTTTCTCCGAGTACTTCGGTTTCCCCTGCCAATCTTCATTCTACCAATTGCTCCACAATCACCCTCACCTATCATCTGGGGCTGGTACAATAGGCCAGAAGTGGCCGCAGTACAAGGGACTTAGTCCCACCCCACTAGCATTAAAAAAATACAGATGATACAAACCCCTTTATTTATTAAAACAAAACAAAAAAAAAAAAGAAGAAAAAAGAAAGAAGACTGCCACTCAGATTTGAATGAGAAGTAGTGAAGCCTTGAGGGCAAACACATTTAACTAGAAGTCACAACAGTGAAGCAGACTGCCACTTTCAAGCCCACTCACCAGGGTGTGAGCACCAGGCATTGATATAGAAGCCAATTTTTGTTGCAATGTCTGCATGTAGGTATCATAGGTAAGCTGAACCTGAGGGGTGGCAGGATGAGATGGGGGGGTTCCAGTCAGTACACGTTCTGACGATGGCTGTGACGTAAGCTGCAGCAGCTTTTGTTGCAAATCTGCTATTGTTTGTGGGCCACTGAAATAATATACACAAATATAGTATGGAAGTCTATTTAATAAAATACTTAAGTATTAAAAACTGTATCTGCAACTACAGCACAACAGGAAATGCACTGTACTACCACTGCAGTAAAATTTCTTTAGGACAAAGAGTCAAGAATTATACACTGTAGGAACATTCATAGCACATAAATCCTGCTGTCATCTCTTACAACGTAAAGATCCATCTTTATGGCAGCATAAACAGATTAGCTTCTTTCTTTCCATCCTTTGATATCAGCTGTCTCAAATAAATTAAAAATGAAACCCTGCTGCTATTCTAGTTAGATGACAGTAACATTTCTGCACAAATAGGCATTGCATCACTTTATTCACAGAATATCATGCTTACAACTGTTTCAATCAGTGCCTAAGGAAACTGCTCATATATAACAGCAGCAATAACAGCCACCACCATTAAGTTCCAGAAATAATATGACTGTAGTATCAGAGCTAAGTATTCTGTCCATCTGCAAAAGCTTCCTACCTTCCACACCTTTTGATATACAGAGTGATCCATTAAGTCCTACAGCAAAACTTGAGGAGGTGACCAGGAGGATAATGTGCAACAAGAAATGTAAATACTTTTTTATTCATCATCCCTAGAGTTATGATATGTCACCACATTTTATGAAAATTAAGTAATTGTCCATTTATCATGCATTTCGTTACTTACACTTCACATCTTTATCTCTCTCTTTTAAATACAATGATAGATAAGCAAAGATTCTGAAATTATTATTGCTTTTCAGTTTATATTTTAAATTACATTTAACACAAATGTCTGATCATGTGGCAGGGAATGGCACACAGTTCTACATATTTTTTCATAACAATTGCTCAAACATACTCCTTCAGCCTGCACACATGCTTCAAAGTGATGCCAAAAAGGTTTCCTGACATCATCCAGTTGTATATGTTCATCCATAATGTCTTGTCACACCTACCAGGATGCAACTCATCAGGTCATTGTAATCTTGTACATTCACAGTGTAAATGAATGTTATGCATTCCCACAAGAGGAAACTGAGTGGGTTCGGGTCAAGAGAACATGACAGCCAAGCAATCAGACCCTCTCAGCTGATCCATGTGTCTGGAATATGGCTGTTCAACAAACTAAGTACTTCACATAAAATGGTGGGATGGGAAATAAGTTCTTTCAACTAAATCAGCATAATGGTTTCCACCAAGACAATTTGCTATTGCATATGGTCCAAGCAGGTTATCACCTATGATTTCAGGTGAAACACTGAAAAGCTAAGTCTTTTTTAAAATCTTAAAATGTAGAGCACTGAGTAGCACGAGGATTCTCCAGTACCCATTCCTGTAATCTGTGGTGAATGTTTACACAACTCCTTCCGACTGTTTCTTCATCTGTTCACAGTGCATGGTACAAAAAGTCATGTTTCATCTACAGTTCTGTGCGAAAACCACTGACAGAATTGGAGGCAAAGATTATTGCCCCCTCGCTGAAGCACTTTTAAAAGTTGTACACAAAAAGAATACAGCTACTCCTTATGCAGAATATGCCAAATGCACCCTGAGAGACTTTAGTCTTTGCAACTTGTTGTGCATGTTAAAGTCCTATTGTTTCACACGCAACCTGATAAATGCTAGTTGATGGATTCATATGTAGAGCACCTAATGCCTCCTCTTCATTCCGCCAACGTCAACTGCCATAGCCAATATGTACTGGTGGCATGAATGCACCTGCTTCCCTCAGACTGCAGCATATGGTTGCAAACAAATGTCTGCTGGATTCCACCAATCTACTACTCTAACTCCATTAGCATTACTAATTTTATGCAAACTCTCATTCCCAATTGTAGGTTTCAAAAAGTCTTCCCTCCCTAGTTTGGTACTGAAATCTCCTAACAACATTTTCACAGGGTACTTTGCGAATTTATAAAATACATGTTCTAGTTCTTCATAGAACCTGTCCTTCATGTCATCAATTTTGTCTTCTGTTGGGGGACGAACATTCATAATGATATCACACCAGCGACCTTTTAGTATTATAATAATATCCTATCACTAATGAACTCTACCATCTTAACTGGTGATACGATTCTCTTATGTATGAAAAAACCTGTACCTAATTCACGATATTCATTCCTCTTTCCATAGAAAAATAGGACTTTCAATCACCCTTTATAAATATGGTTCACACCTGCTGTGGAATAATTTGTTGCATTACTGTAGTTGCTGCTACCATTATTACTATATTACAGTATTACTATACTACCTGTCTTTCTCCAAGGAATTCTGCTGTGACAATCTAGGATGCAGTAACAGTGCCTGCTGATCAACTGCAGGCATGATGGTATTTTCAGGAGTGTACTGTTGATTTGGTGTCTGGCTGGCTCCAGGCATAACTTGTGATGACAATGTTTGACCATCTGGTGGAGGTGAGCCCTGGGCATTAGTTTGATGCTGATAATGATGTTCTGCAGATGGCTGGCTTGATGGAAACACATCAGATATACACATCTTGGCTTGGGTTGAGATGATTATAGCATCATCTAACTCTGCCGATCTGTCAGATATAAAACTTGTTTTTCGGCTAGGGCCTTCACTTCCAGAGGGGTCAGATAACTGCGTGTCATGTACTGCTTGAGTTATAGTCATATTCCTTACACCCTGCTCTAACTGTGCTCCACCCATTACCACAGACATGCCTAATTGTCCCTGAGTGTGTAGTAACTGAGGCAGAGTACTTTCAGCAAGCTCACCATCTGAAGCCATGATATGGTCTTGTATAGCTGAAAGGTCAGGTTTGGTATGTGTATAAGGATCAATCTCAAGCAGTCCCAGTTGAGTATCAGGGTCAATTATGCTTGAACGTTTAGATGAATACACATCAGCTGAGGAACTCATGGAGATTTCAGATTGTGTACTTTGCATTTCAGTCTGCTGAGAGTGAGATTCTGAGGAATTCAGTTCATAATTAACATCCACTGAGAATGTAGGAATGTTATCAGTAGAGGCTGATGACTGTTTCCTAATATCCTCACTGCTCATATTATCCTTCCCAACTGAGACTCTCTTTCCTTTACTGTTGACACTTCCTTGTGTATCATCATAAATCACTGAATGAACTTCTGCTTCTTCCAAAACTCCTCTGTCACAAGATAAGAATTTAATTTTTCCCTGATCCATGGACTCCTCCGAGAGATTAAGAGATGGAAAATCAGGAACGATGACAGTTGGCTCTGCAGTAACAATGGAGCACAAAGAAGATGGTATGGAGCCAACAAGACTAGATGAGGATGCACTTTCATCAACAGTGCTCACCATGAAGCGAGATACTACACGCTGCTGCAACACAAATACAATCACAAAATTCAACACGATGACACAAGACAAAATGAAACTACAAAGAAAGTGGCCGATACAGATTTGGCCAAAACATAATTAATTGAATGGTATATGTGGATATAGTCTTTAATAAATAAAACTATTTTAAACCATATTTAAACTAAGATTTGATAAAAAAAGAAAGTCACTTCTGTGCCCATGTAATCATACTTACACATTAAATTTTTTTAAAAATTCACACACTTACTCACAAAACAATAAGATTTGGTTATGCAGTTATCTGTTGTGCTACAAAGAATATGCACTTCTATGTGCATAGTACATATAATCTTCATTACGAATGGTTGCACAAAATTATCTAACTTAAATGACTATACACAAATTAATACAGAAGGTCTGTTCTTTCATCTCATATTCATACAAATGAAAGTCAATATTTCTGATTCTCTCTCCTATTCAAAAATACATTATCCTGGCCAAATTCTTATTTCTTCACATAATATTTAAGCACTGTCCTAAATATCTACAACCCATATATGAATTCTTTTATTTTTTTTTTTGGTTGTGGAAAAATATAAAAGGTAAGTGGTAAAGTTAACCCTGTGCATAATTAATTAAGCACTACACCACGAAGACGTGTGGAGGAGTGGATATATAGATCCACATATGTGAAAAAAATATATAAACACATAAATAAATTAACAGGCAAATAGGAAAACTGCAATGGAGTACCTTAAGATGATGGCTGGTGTGGTGAAAAAAAAATAATTTATTCAACTTATACAGAACTTGTGTTGCCAGAACCTATAATAGTTCACATACAATATTATGCTAAAATATGATATGCTTCACATTCTCTGTGTGTATGTACAAGATAAATTTTAAATATTAAAATAAACATTTATCAGTTCAATGAAGGACTTTTTAAAGAACAGGTGTGAGCAAAGGTTCAAAATTCAAAGCACTATGTTTAAGCTTTGAACAAATCATTATTCACATATACAGGATGTGCCAGAAAACACTGATGGTTTTTGAAATGTAATTACCATCTTTCCTGCTATGTTGCATTTCCATACCAACATCTGTCATGTAGAGTGTTCCTTGGACTTTAGCTGAAATGGAGCATTGGTCAGTGTAACACTACACTGAGGCTGTGGAACTGTTTATCAGAACAGTGTTAATTACAGGTATACAATGTGGTTTCCGAATACAGTTTCAAACATGCAATGCACCAAGCTGCAATACTGTGCTGTTGTGGGTAGTGAAATGGTGCTGGGAAGAAACAGCCAAAGACAGTAAAGCTCAAGGATGTCCATGTAAAGTGTGTAAACCTGACAATGCAGAGCGAGTAAGAGAAGTCATGTTGAAAAGTTCCCAGAGGTCAGCTTGGTGGCAAACTCTCATGCTTTGTTTAGAGGATGGAAATGTTTTTGGAATTCTGCACAAAGATTTGCATTATTATCCTTATCAAACCTCAGCCGACCAGGACAGGACAAGGTGAACTAACTTCAGTTTGTAAGATTTGAGGCTTTCACGGCGGTGACTATGAAGAAAGCAATCTTCTGGGATTTGGCACTGTGTATAAGTGGTGTTAACCGACGTTTCGGAGGAACGTATCGCCTCCATCTTCAGGGTAGAAGAAAAAGTATAAGAAATCTGCAAGCGAAAAGACCGTGAGAACAGTAAAAGCAGACTTCAGTTTTGCAATCGATTCCTGGACTTGGTGAACAACAATCACAATGTGAACTCATTAATGTCAAATGAGTCTTACTTCCACATGCTAGGTTATTTCAGTAAACAAAATTGTAGGATTTTGTAAGGTTGTCAGCCTTACGCGCCGGCCACGCTTTACTCCCCAGGAAAATTATTTAATTAATTCCTGGTACTCATTTATGTTAGAGGCTGAGTAAACCCCAGGGCCTAGTGCAGCTGGAAGGATTAGGTCAACTGAAAAAATCCAATGACCTCATCGGGACTTGAACCTGCGACATTCCGGCTTGTAGCATAGCCCCTCAACCAACCACGCTACCACGTCTGGAACTTATTGTATATTTAATGTACATATATTTCATTCTTATGGCCAGACAGGAAGGTTACTTACAATAGTTTGTTCCTGTTGACAGTACATCTGGGATGGATGATGTGTGTAAGTCCAATGCTTAGTGAAAGAGGGTGGCTGTGTGTATGTTGGGTAGGCACATAAGAAGTGAAATTTTGTAGTGATGACATATAATGCCTTCTTGGATAACCATACACATCATCGTGTAGTTAGTGTCCCAACATTTTAGAGATTGTCACTGTCTCCATGGGCATGTTCAAAATTACAACCTGATCTCTTAATGTAATTTTTAACATGTCCACCTAGCTTTCACAGTGCAACTCTTCAAATTATCATTTCATTTCCTTAATCACTGAAATTTAGCCTGCTTCCTTTGACAAAATAATTTTGAACACTACAGTTGGAACTAACTTTACCGACAAGGGTGGTTGCTTGGTCGGTATAGTTCACTTGCGGACTACAACCACAGATTTTGTTCTTTTTTGTAAACCACGGTTTATGATGCATCAACCAATAACAACAAACTCTTCCTGATCTGTTGACAGTCTCTTCAATGTTTCCCCAAGCCCTACTGATCATCCAAGTTTACAACTGCAAGCCTATTTCAAAATTTAACCTGGTACTATTCTATTAGTCTGCACATCATTTAGCCTGAGAAGAAAAATATATAATGTAATTTGTTTTTATAAATGTAAAGTTGACCCTGGGAATAAATACAACATTCTGTAAGCACATATGAAACTTCTGGGAAAGCTACAATAATATTAAAGAGGAAATTTATTTTAAATAATCCCTATTTACATTTGTTTTGCCTGTTTAAAATTAAGAACCTCTTCTTTCAACTATGGACAATTACTGAGAGGCAGAGGTATAAGCATATGATGAGAGTTCCTACCGGTAAGGATCCGATTGTAGAACATGAAATGGCTTCCAAAGGGTGCTGCTGTACAACATGCATGGGACTGCTGGGTCCTGACAATGATGCTCTCTCTCTCACTATGGGATCCATTAGCTTCGCTGCTGTAGATGTTTCATCCTTCTGCAAAACAGAACTCATCTCGAATACTTAATACCAATAAACTTCTTCATTATCTTAGATATTCCATACTGTGTCAAAGTTAGGCTAACACATACCTATTTTCTGCTCCATCTCTGCACATTTTAGTGTGGCTGTCTTGGTGGAACTAATCAGCCATAGCAATTTATTTAAGAAAATTGTTTATTCCATACCACCATCCCCACAAAGACACATATTTCATGCAATGCATAACATGTATTAATGAACAATGTCAGTTCAGACAGCAATACAATATCTTGCCTTTTGTTTAGGTATTGGCCAGTTCAAATTTTGTAGAAGCCACTAATAAGTGAACTGAGATTGCTCATGTTTCCAACTGCCAACCCAGCCAAATTCCAGGGCAGGAGGGTGCACAGACTGAGGCCATGTCTACTTCCTCCCCAGTCTTTTCCAATTCATCACATATAACTACTCTCTCATCTCGACTGAAATTATGCTTATATTTTACCCCTTCATTAGGATTTACGAGAGAAAAAACCTTTAGAAGCCAAATGAAATGCTCCATAATGGGACATGAAGTTACAACACGAACTTCCATGCACAGGCATGAATTAAAGACAACAGTCAACTCAGGAGTTTGTGCTAATGATGGAAAGAAATGGCAAAGAAAATGTAAAACCACAAAACAATATAAAAGTCATGGCAAATTTTTATACAAACACTCAAGATACACGTGCCATTTTCTGTTTCTGGCCTTGTAATATATTTTACACACACCAGCCATGACACTACTTGCTATGTAAATGCTGCATTAATCTGTTTCTCCACATATCTGACAACAGGTACAAACGTAGAATATATGATGAACTATTCGGAGTCAACTTCAACCAGCGACCTTTGTAATTTCTATTCGCGCATGCATTTACTTACCTTCAGCGTAACAATTACAGCAGAATCCCAATTTTGGATTCATATTTTGTGATCCCAGCCGAAGCCCTATATAAATAATGTATTATTACATCTACAACCATTGTTGGGCAAGGGGTTGGTAAACAAGTTCCCGCGAAGACAGAGTTTTGGTAAACAGTCCTGTTGTGCAACAACAGATGAATCTGTGTTTTCTATGTGGTCTGCGCCAAGCAACAGTAGAATAATGGGGTTATGCAATCTGTTTCTAAGTAATGGCTCAGTAAACACACTTCCACATAAGCAGTGATGTCATCAACAAGAGACGGTGTTTTCTGTGGGGTCTGTGCAGAATGCGTATATGAGAAGTGAATGCAGTGACAGAGTTAGTTCAGGGGCAGTTGAGTCAGTTGTAAGCTGGAGGAGAGAGTACAGAAGAATTTCTAGTTCTGAGGTTCCAGAGTGATTGAAGACAAAATAGCGAGACTTCATAGTGATTTGAAATGATAGTTCCTGTGTTGAGATCCATTGCCAGGAGATGACTAGGGAAAACTGGGAATCTTAATGTGTGCGCAATGGTGAACTGGAAAGTGTGTAAATCAGTGATAGCACTGTATTGCCTGTACTTAAGAGTGTTCGTAAAGGAAGGTGCTAATAAATCCAATCAGCTGAACTAGAACCCATTATTTTCATCACTTGACAGTATATTTTCCCCTGAATCAGAGTTTCTCATTTTGGTATTTTACCAAAGCTGAATGAATGAAAACCCACTCTCTGCATGAAATCTATACTTTGGCATAGTATTGTATTGTGACATGATGCCTAAAAGCTGCAATCTGCCCCATCTGCTGGGCGCGGCTTCCCTGAGCATGTTCCTGTGGCAAAACAGAATGCACCATTGTTGGACGGCGAATTGTTGGAACACGTTTCCACAGCAATGAATATGACTAAATAAGCAATGCATTGCATAGAGATTCATAGTGATACCTAGGCAACACATACAGAGGCATTTCTGTTTCAACGGATAGGTAAAGGTTGTTCACCAAGCAACAAAAGACAGCTACGCAGAATAGGAACCCTTGGAGACAGTGATCTCTTATATCGTTTGACCAAAACCTAACTCAGGGGGAGATTGAATTCAAGAAGATCAGATGCTGGAGAGACCTACCATATCAGCCAAGAAGATCAGATGCCAAAGAGTCTTACTGACTGTGCCAAATATATGAGATACAGACTAACTCACCAAATTTGTACAAGGACCATCCAAGAGTGGAAGTGTTATTGTGTGTGTTATTGTTCCAGTAACCTTTTGAAGTATTTGTAGACACCTGGTGATTGTCCAATAAGTTGATTCACCAACCACAGAACCCATTAATTACTTCTTGCATTACCAGGATATCTGACAGTATTTCTCTCCCACCTTACCACCGCTTATTTTCAGAACTTGAAAATGAAGGGTTGTCTGAATATGAGTGCAAAAAAATATATAATGATGTTTTTAAACATTTTAATCTTTTAGTGTGTTGATGTTTCTAAGATGCAGTAAATGCCAACATTCTCATTTTGTCATGCAATCAGCAGAGGGAGAAAGAAGTAGAGAGAAATATGTTCAAGGTCAGGAGTCACGGGCTAAGATGAGTTTGCCTGAAGAGGCACCAGGGTTTCAAATCAGAATCCGTAATTCTCTGTGAAGGGATATCAAAGAAAAGTTGGTAAGTCAGAAATGGTAATGATGGTACACATATGGAAGAAGAAAGAGACCCAGTGTATAACGTGTTTCTGAATATTTAATATCTCTCACATTTGCCTGTGAGAACTATATGAAATTAATGCATTATATCACATTTAATGTGCAGATATGTTTCTCGGTGTGGGATTATTTTCAATTTAGATTTATCTTTCATTTGGATAAATGGGGTATATGTGTACCATCATTCATTATTCAAACAGATCTTGATGTCTGCATGTCATTTAGTGAACCCTGGGCCAAGGATCATGCAATCCTAAATGCTACTATTCCATGCAATGAGAAATTCTGTTGTCCAAATTAAAAATAGCTTAACTCTCTCAAAACACAGCTGTTATTAATGAAATAAAATTCCCAATACTAGGACAAGCCTAAAACGCTGTTCAAGCCATAAAAATTCTGCAGTTCCTTCCAGTTAAATAAAACCACATCAACATTCTCATAACTGTGTCACAATAACACAAAACTCCATGGAACTATGGCAAACACCATCATAATTCTTAAATAAGTTTTATTTTACACTGCTGCGTAATGTGTTTATATGACTGCCAGTTAATGGTCACAATATGCACAAAATATCAGCAGAAATTAATTATAATTTGATCAATAAAAGGTGTGATTGTAAAATGTGGCACAAATCCTGTTAAAAAATGTAATCAATACACTGTGCCAAATTCAATGATTTTTATTCCATACAAGTGTAAATTAAGTGAACAAAACAATTTAGACATTTTTTTCAGTTCTGGGAACATGTCAAGAAGAAGACTATTCATTTATAGAGCCATGACTACTCTGAAACACAGGATACCTGTATGGAGATAACTTCAATGTAGAAGCTGAACATCTCTGAGATATCTTACTACCAAATCAGTCTTAGAACAGTTAAACTGTAACTGAATTATTTTTGACAGTTTACCAAAAGAATTTTTTGTACATTTTCATAGCTACAACTATTATTATGGATTTTTCTTGGTCACACTAATGTAATGAATAATGAATTTTAAATATTTTTCTTCCCATAAATGAATTATAATAACACAATACATGAATGATATGAGACATGAATTCATCAAGTGTGTTGAATTTCTGCTTATCTACTCTATTCACGAACATAAAACTCAACAACTGATGGATTAATGACACAAAATGAGAATAAGGCCGATTAAATTGTTACAGAGGAAAAATGGTCCCAAAACACATAGAAGTGTAAGAAGCAAGTACTCAGGTTGGCAAAAATTAACAGCTACTTTCAATTAACTTACCGAACGATGTCGCCTGTGACCTTTATATGATGACCGATGAGAACTCTGACGAGTTAGTGAAGAATGACGTACCTAGAGTTAGGTCAGGTTGTGAAATGACAATGTAGGAATTCAGTGGGATGTGTTACATGAAGATAAGTTGTTCAGGTAGATGGAAGTTGTATACAGGCATATTGCAGGAAGAGCCAGAGATGTTGGACAAGGTGTTAAAGAGCAGTAAGAAATAAAAGCAGTTAAAGAGACACAAAGATGTTCAAATGAAAAAGAAATTATGATTATTTTGATCAAAAACAAAAAGAGAAAATTATGATCAGAAATTAAATAAAACAGAACATAAATACACGAAAACAAAAATTCAAAGATCACAGGAAACGTAAAAATGGTTTCAAAGTAGCAAAATTGTAGGAAAATAAAAATACAGGACACAAGAAGGGGAGAAGTGAGGATGACGGAATAAGAGAAAGAAGAGAAATAAAAGAGAAAAGCAAAGTAAGACATATATGTAACCAACAAGAAGAGACACACCAAGCACAAGCACACACACCATATGGGAGATGCTTTCAGCTATTCATAAATCAGCAAATCCACTATATAAGTATAACATTTTTGCATATCTTGCTACCATCAAGGTGAAGTCCAAATAGTTATACCCAACTCTTCAATCTGAAGAAAGTACTTTTACCTTTAAAGCTAGCAAAAGCTGCAGTGATTCCCTTTGCATATGCTATACAGTGTTATTCACATGACAGTTTGAAATGTAAAGAATGGCACAATGAAGCATTCACTGTAATACATATACGTTCCAACAATGATGAGTGTAATGACTATCTATGTAACATTCACTATTACCATGTTAAGAAACACAACCACATTTTTTACAAGCAACCTGTAAAATGTGCTTTTTGTAACAACCTGCTTGCTTATCTTATCCACAGCCCTGACATATGAGGTTAGTTCAGAAAGTTCCCAAAATGACAACAAGGAGAAGCAGTGCGTCTAATGACTTTATGTCATGATTTTGTTCTCCATTCTGGTGGCAAGACAACAACATACACTTAGTTTTCTCTGTGTTTACTTTGAGACCCACCTCCTAACTAGCATCAAATAAAGTTTGTGTGTTCTTGACTCGGTTTATCCTGGTCCACCACACTAGCAATTGTATATAAGATTTTTAACCACAGTCCAGTGTTTCTGATAAAAGTTGTGTTTTTAGTTTTTCAACCTTTACATGTTTCAGTCAAAACAACCATCTTCAGAAGGATATTATCAACAAGTATGGAAATTATTATTACATGTCACAGATATAAATGTTATATCTTTTAACTAATACTAAGGTGTACAATGATTTGTTAAAACACCTCAAAATTATTACAATTAGTCTATTTACAAAATAATGTTCAATATTTGTTTTATTCTAGAACCAATTTAGTTCACATCATTACACTTCTTCTCCTTAATGGAAGATGAATATATTCCACAGCATGGTTTTGTTGTCTAACGATGAAGACTTTGCAATTATATTATGGGTATTATGTAGGGTTTCTATAACCCTGATTTTATTCAAATGACATTTTATTTTTAATGCTACCTTTGGTATTGTGGTCCAGTTATTCAGCCTACACTGTGTTTGTTACACTATTCTACAGAGTGTTGTTTTCCATATTTATACCTTTATGCGTCAAGACGTTTGTGTGTGCATTACGATGGTGAACATACTATTTGATTATCACTCTCATTTGTATGTTTTTATTCTTCTATCAATTTATAAAGTTTATTGAAGTGATAAATGTGAAAGATTTCCTTTATATTCATGAGATTCCGTTTTATACCTTGCTCAACTATTTCCACAATTTCTGTCATAGGTCCATACAGGTGGCGTTTATTTAGTATGTGTCTGGAGAAGGCCAATTCATCTTTGTTAAATCTTATGTTTCTTACGTTTTCTATATATACACCGAGTGTCCAGGATCTGTTAGGACTCATTTCTTTTAAATTTTGCCCTGTTGGTGAGTTGTGGCATTAAAATTCTTGAAGTTTCAGCTGTGGCCATCTATAATTTCAAAGTGCAAGCTTCGCCGCATCATGTGTTCTGACCTTGAATGTAACAGTACTGTTCTGATGCTCGTCAGAAAATGGCGGTTAAACATTTTTGCTTGTTTGAAGGAAATAAAATTGAAAGAGGGTGATATGTCTAATATGATTACAGGTCATGTGTGGAAAGACAAAACACGCATTTATATTGTGACATGACAACTGAAAAACTTTTCTGCTGCTATGCAACGGCAAACTGAACACACTTCCACAGGATGCAACAACAAAGAAACCGCTGAAGAATCAACACACCACGTTACAGGAACAGCTAGAAATGATGACTTCTATCTGGTCCGTTCCAATCATATATAATGAAAACCATGTGAGAATCTTAAATATCACTGCTGGGAGCTGCTACCAACCAAAGGGTTAGAACTAAGAAGACTCAGTATATAATGTAGTGAGATGTTCAGTGTGTAGACTAGCAAAAGCATTGTATTTATTGGCAGTTATGGGTTATAAGTTTTCAATAAATCCAATTATCAATCCAAAGCCTGTATCTATTCACTAACATGTGACAATATCCCAATAAATATGCAATATTCGCAAAAAGAGGAAAATCATTATGATGACCATGGAAATGGTCTAGGAACTAGTGATGACAACATCACACAAGCAAGGGACATATTACAGACTGCAGACGTATCAGAACAACGGGCTAACGAACATGAAAACAAGCTGTTGCAACAAAACACCTGGAGAGAAACATATAGTTCTAAAGAAACGGATGACACCCCTTGTGAGGTGGGATAGAATTTCACCAAAGTAATGAAAATTTTAATGGATTTCATTTTATTATATTAAGTGGAATACAGTGTGTCATTTTATCACATATTAATTCAGAGTGGCAGTTGTAATATATTAAGGCGCCTGAAGATGGCTTTCTAAGGCCGAAACATGTTGTGTTAAAGCATAAGTGGAAGAAAGAGGAACAATTTCTTGCATTATTGACAGACTGTGTTATGCACAGACTCTTTTTTGCAGCAATGCATCCATCTCAAAAACTTGCATGGTTATGCAGTAGGCATTGGAAAAATATTACTTGTGACTTTGTTAGAGCAAGCATTGTTCTATATAATAAGATCTGTACTGCATACAACACTGTCCTATAAGAGCAAACAAAATAAAAAAAATATATTATCTCTCAGCCACAATGCCAACTAATGCATTTTAAAACAGTATTAATAGTATATCAGTTTCATATGGAACAGTATTCAACATTTCACAATAAACCCTTCATGACTAAGCCACACAACTTCTGAGAACCTGTCTGTAGCTCAAATATGAACTTTATAATCAGCCAAGTATTTTTTAACTTCAAAATATTGTCTATATAATATCTTTCATGGAAGGTACTCAAAAATGGTAAACTAATGTTATTCTGAATGTTTAAAATTCATATTTTGAAAACGGATTACCTTTACAATCTAAGAGGCATGTAGCCAAATATAATATTCACAAAGGAATATCCTTCAACCCTAGCAAATGTATCAATAATTTGAGCATCACAGATCTTAAGGACACTTATGCTTGCTTTATACATTTCCCTACCATGATATATACTATGAAGGCAGAGATCTATTTATATTAACACACATATATTTCAAATCCACTAACTTTGCTACACCAAAATTTTCTGTACTCTGATATCACAGACAAACTTACCCTGTTTTGTGATTCTGCCAATGGGTCACGTTCTCTGTCACGAGGCTTCCTATTGGTTACGGGGCTATCCAATGGGCAGTAGGGCAATATAGGTAATCGGTCAGGATGTTCCTTCAGCTGCTGTACAATATCATTTATCAAGTCAACAAAGATATCAGAGTGGTGTTCTGGTAGCAGATTCTCAGCCACCTAAATGAAAGAGTCAACTTTATCAGTCACAGAATTACCATGATCTTAAAATTATACACTTTCAAAAATTGTCATTGGAGTATGAAAAGGATAGTTATCTGAGTATGAAAGTATGGTAAAATACTACAATTTTGTGCAGATGTGTTATAAGTAATGTAAACATTACACACATTCCAGACTTCAGCTGACAGCCTGATACAGCAATTCTGGTATTCAATAATGCAGGACAACACATTTTCACATTTTTTTTAAAAAACATGTATGAAGTAAGTTGCCTCTGACTAGATCATGGATGGTGATCATGAAAATGATAGTCAAAAAGTTCTTCTTGTTAATATTTATTTTTTTTGCATGCTAGACCTAGCACGAGGGTAAGTCAATAAGTAAGTTACAAATGGATATAAAACTTAAACAAATAAGAGTACTGATTTGAAAAATGCTTTTATTTCTAAACATAATCTCCCTGTACATTGAGGCACTTGTCCCATCATTTCACAAGCCCCTGAACACCAGCAGCATAAAATTCTTTGGGCTGCTGTCAGAACCAGACGGTGACTTCCTTTCTACAGCTTCATCGTCAGGAAAATGTTCAGCCAAAAGATGATGTTTAAGAGGGCCAAACAAATGGAAGTCGCTTGGAGCAAGACTCATTCTGTGACAATTTGGGCTAGCATATTGTGTCTTTCATCATGGTAGCGATTGAGATGCTGTAATGCCAGACCTATTCTTTGCATTTTGTGTTGGGGGGACAGCATGCGCGGCACTGATCATGCACAGACTTTGTGAAAACCTAACCTGTCATGCAACTTCCATTTGTTCGGCCCTCTTAAATATCATCTTTCGGCTGAACATTTTCCTGGCGATGAAGCTGTAGAAAGGGAAGTCACCACCTGGTTCTGACAGCAGCCCAAAGAAATTTATGCTGCTGGTTTTCCAGGGCTTGTAAAACGATGGGACAAGTGCCTCAATGTACAGGGAGATTATGTTGAGAAATAAAAGAGTTTTTCAAATCAGTATTCTTATTTGTTTAAGTTCTATATCCATTTGAAACTTACTTATTGACTTACCTACATATTTACATCTTACTACAAAATTTGAAATAATTATCTTATTTAACAGGAATAAAATTTTGTTCACTAATAAAATGCCTCTCTTTGTAAAAAATACCAACAACAGACATTAAGCAAGCTTGGTTCATATCTTCCTTGATTGTGCTTTTCCAATATACCTAGTGGCAGAACTTTCCACAAACAGCATCAAGGTTGCCAGAAAAGAAGACTGCCATGCAGCTAATTGAATGGAATTTAGCTTCAGTTAGGAACAGTGGTCATGCAAAAGTTTTTTAATTCGTCAACCAATAAACACCTTTTTTCATACCCGGCTTACACACATATACGCCACCACATTTTTTCCACCATGTTAGGAATCACCTGGACAGAGAGATGGCTGGTATATGAACTGTCAGAGGTGGACCAATCACTTGGCCTCCTAGGTCACCAGATTTAACCCCAGTGGATTTTTTCTTGTGGGGTTATGTGAAGAACATTGTCTACCAGGTTAAGATCAAAGACCTTCAACACCTGAAAGCCTGCATAAGGGACGCTGTGGCTACAGTAACACCAAACATGCTTCAAGCCTGGATATTTTTCACGCCACCAAGGGAGCCAACATTTAAATTTATTGAGAAAGTTATATCACAGAAAAAAACTTTGATAGTTTCCCTTTGTAATGGTGTAACCCATTAATGTGTATTATAAATTCTTTCTGAGATATATTGATTTTATTTTGGATACCTTTCATCCGGACACCTGTATTTAACACTGCTCTTCCTAGGAATAAATGCTTCCCCCACTGGCCAATCCTAAATAACAGAATAGTGTTCTGTTTTTCACCATCATGCTGGGCACAAAACCTACAATAACCAAGCTAGCAAGGGCCAACAACAAATTGCTGCTCTCTTCAGGACTGCAGTTAGCAGTTGATACTTAGCAGTCAGTCACCAGAAAATGAGGAAGGAAGCAGTAAAAGGAATCTACATCGTTAGGAGCCACTGCCAAGCAATGAGTATGTGAAGATGTAAGTGCTGCAACTATTTGCAGTTAAGAGTAATAAGCAAAGTAAAAAAAGTAAAGCTATCCCTGCAACAGGCTGTGAAGGCCCACAGGGTTGCGAGACATTGAGGGTCCCACACTATCTAGACAATCGGCTCAAAGATGGTGGTAAGGTTGTCAGCCTTATGCGCCGGCCATGCTTTACTCCCCAGGAAAATAATTTGATTGATTCCTGGTCCTCATTTCTGTTAGAGGCTAAGTAAACCCCAGGGCCTAGTGTGGCTGGAAGGATTAGGTCAACTGAAAAAAATCCAATGACCTCATCAGGACCTGAACCTGCGACCTTCCGGCTTGTAGCATATTCAATCCAAATCCAGCAAGGAGTCACTAACAAGTGACAATATTATATGTGCTCAATAAACTCCTTGGTGTATAACAACAGAACTGAGGCAATACCAATATGATGTGTGGTTTGGCTTCTCAAGTGGTATGAAAAAAAAGAGAAAGCTGATGAACAAATTTCTTTTCATACAGTCTCTCTTATTTTTTTCATTTAAATTCATAATTGTGAAATCCAGATTCTTGCTCATGGAAGTGACTGTGAAGAGCATTATTTTCTAGAATGTGAAAACATGCAGTTTGGTACAAGATTACCAGTGCTCCAGAAGAATGCTCATAAACTTCCACTAGGCTGCGTTGTCACATCACAGAAATTCATACTTCCTCATAAATGAAAACTCCATTTCATTAAATTTGTTGTAAAATGTACATGTAAAGGGAACTGAAACTCTATTTGTTACTAAGTTTTTAAATCTCGGAACTGCCATATTTTTAAATACAGAGGAAGAGTAGAAATGAAACATCTTCATAAACTTTAAATTCCTTAGATGTAACATGACTGGCTCAATGTTTCATTTACAGAACATTCCAAGATAGACTAGCCAAAAAGAAATAAAAAAAAGGGGGGGGGCATCTATTTATACTTCACTGAATGTTAAATTGAACTAACAAGGTTACTTTACTCCTAATACTCCAGTGAAATGTGACAGTGTTTTCACTCACCAAATTGCTTGCAATGTCCTGTGGAACAACATCTTGTATATGGAAGGTGAAAGTCACTGTCCTGTGTTTGCTGGACTCCAGCTGGCATTCAACTACACCCCCACCATTACCCAAGGATAGAACCATCAATCTAGGTCCACGGTCACCCACTGTCTTACGTCGCTTTGTTCCTGGCCTTTTAGAACGTTTCTCAGGAAGCACTTCTGCAGGAAGGAGAAGAGGCTGAGCACTTGGTGCCTCAGATGAAGAAGGCTCCAGGGCAGTTGATGGCATACTTCAAAACATAAAATATTAACTATGAGGAATAACTTAAACAATATTTGTTTCATATGGGTACATAAAGCAGAAATGTACACTTCAACTGCAGTTTGAAGTGTGACAGAATGGGGAAGAGACAAAAAACTGTAGATAATTTTTTTGACTGAAAAAGTTGATGTTCAATCTGTGAATAGGTTCTGAAAAATTATGCAGAATGGCACTGTTAAGTTAGTTGAATTCCATTAAAAAACACAATTTGTGCATCACCTTATCATTTTAGTAATTATAATTTCCAGAAGGGAAGTTAAATTATCCAATTTCTTTCATAATGTATGATGGAATGAGAACTGAAATCCCCCTTTTCTTCCACTTCAAACCCAGACTTCAACTATCCTAAACTATATGCCAGGGATCCAACTGATAAACGGTAAAATATATTACATAGCAGTCTGACTTCCATCCAATAAATACAGTATTATGGTAAGGTAAAAGTAAAGCTATCCCTGTAATAGGCCTTGGAGCCAACAGGGTTGAGATGTCAAGGCTCCCACATTTTCCAGACAATGGCTCACAGATGGGAGTGAGGTTGTCAGCCTTATGCACCGGCTGCCCTTTACCCCCCAGAAAGATACCTGGTACTCATTTCTGTTAGAGGCTGAGTTGACCCCAGGGCCATACTGCTGCTGGAAGGATTAGGACAATTGAAAAAATAAAATGACCTCATCTGGAATTGACCTTGTGACCTTCCAGCTTGTATCATAGTATTCCATAAAAATGTAGAGAGATTCAGGAAACTTAATATGAAAGTGTGACTGAATAAAACATATATTTTCTACCATTAAAATGTGTAATGTCACAGAATACTCAGATCATTCATATATTAAACTGAATGGTTTCGTTACTGTATGTAATGAGAAACAAATTTTGTAATCTATCTAGTTACTTCAAAGAGTATCTAGTTATTTCATGAAGTAAGGCCCCATCATAGCTCAAGCAGTTAGTCGCCAGCTTCCTACTGCAGCGGCCCGGGTTCGATCCCAGGTCTGGCCAAGTTGGATCTGTGGTAGACAAAGTGGTGCTGCGGCGGGTTTTCTCCGAGTACTTCGGTTTCCCCTGCCAATCTTCATTCCACCAAATTCTTCATCATCATAATCACCCTAGGCAGGTACAATAGGCCAATCAGTGGCCGCCATTCCGAGTGAACCCAATTAGACTCCACCCTCACTAAGCAAATTAAAATTAATTATTTCATAAAGTAACTATTTCAAGTCATGCATCACAATACAATGTGACAATACCTACAATGCTCATTTTAAGCCAGTCAAAATATAGAACAGTGAGTCTTTTAGCAGATTACGTTGAGTTAGCTCAAGTAGACTTTAGAAGACATATGCAACTAACAAGAATAGCCTACATGTTGCCAATAAGCACATGGAAACCAATCCATATTGTGCTAGGAATATACACACAGCAATCAGCATGGTGGTATAAATGCTGTATTTTCACACTATTTAGGTAAAATGTATAAACACACTGCCTACTATTGATTGGTAACTAAATTCAGCACCTAGTTAAAGTACATAAAGATACCTCATTATATGCGTGAACTGCAATATTCAGTTAATATATGAAATAATTAAGTAGTTTACAAAATAACAGATTACTCACTTCAACAATAATATGTATACTTTTACTATATTTTAAAGAACAACACGGATATCAATATTTCTGTTAATTCACATACATAATTTCTTACATGCCTAGTAAACTCCCATTTTCATGTTTCTCAAGGGCAGAATAAATTCAAGACACTAAACTGGGCAAAATACTTAGCACAGGAAATTGAAAATAGTGACAGTGGTGATGAGGCAGCAGAAATAGAACATAAAAGAAAGAAAAATTTAAATTAAGAAGCATTAAACAGGGGTTTCCCCATATTACATATTTAATACTCAAGACAATGTTGAAACAAAGAGCTTTATAGATGACAAAGCTAAAAAAAACCATAACAGACCCAATAAAACAGTCTTGCAGTTCTACAACATGTAAGATATTTCAATGCTTGTTTACTTCCCACACATTATCTAAGTCGCTTCTTGTATAACTTTCACACAGAAAGTCTTTGAAACTCACAGGTCTGATAGAGTAGTTCCCACACAGTGTGAGGACATCTGATCTGATGCAGTTTCAGGAAAATCACTACTTGATAACACACTTTGGTTTCCAGGTTGAGGGTTTTCCTTTTCACTCAGCTGGAAATGTTAAAAAATATTTAGCACAAATTCAGAACAAGTAAATTCAAATAATGAAGATCATAAGTACACTCTGTATGCCTCAGAATTAATACGTGTAGTAAGGAGAGTTCATAACTGTACAAATAAACCTGAAAATCCAGACAGTATTGTCAACCAAAGAGTTGCTCCATATGCCCAAAACAGATCTTAACTCACTGTCAAATTATATATAAACATTAACACAACGTGATCTTTGGAGAAATAAAAAATATTATTTCCTTTTTAATTGGGTTTTATTAAATATTTTAGGAAGTTATGAACAATGCCATCTAAACCAAATGTCTTATGAACAGTTTGATTTTCATACGAGGCCCACCCATCTGTCAAGAAACCACACAGACTTACTGAATACTAGAGAGATTCAGTGATAAAAGTAGTGTATAACAAATTCTTTATGAACAAGCTACGGCATCTGGTAGTGTCAAGCACAGCATATTCATGGAACTGCCTTATTAGGAAATACATGGCTTACTTTGTATCTCACAAACATGGGACTAAAAGTTACAATAAAATCCCTATATATGCAGAAAAATGTTTATTCTAACTAGGATGAAGTTCAACATGACATTCCTCAAGATTCTACATTTGGTTCGCTCCCTTTCTCTTTTAAATTAATAACCTACCGCTCAATTACCTCAATGTCTATACCTGTTCTATCTGCAGATGATACTATATAATAACTGCCGAACTAGATGAAAGATGTCTTGTGGGGTCATCAAACCTTATCTGTACAGATACATATAAATGGTTCGTATCCTGTAACTTTATTTTAAATTATAATAAAACAAACTTCACAAAATTGTTAACAAGAAGCCAACAACTAATGTGTAAGTTATATTGATCAATAAATATAAAAAGTAAAAACACAGTTCCTCAGTCTACAAATTGATCATCAACCGAATAGGAACAATCATGAAGCATGCATTTTGACGAAATTAAACAAAACATATTTCATGGTAAGATCCCTTGTATTTCTCAACAGCAAAAATAACAGTGTACTTTTCATATTTTCACCTCTTCATGACATACAATATTCTGTAGTAATTTTTCTAAGAAAAAAAAAACATATTCAAGCTAAAGAAGACAAAGTTATTATGTACATTTTAACTGATAAAATTTCTAATTGAAAATTTAGGATGTTAAAAAAAGAAATCATCCAATCTACCAGAATGAGCCCATTACGCTGGAATTAAACTATACACAACAACAAGCCTCTCAAAATCACACATTTATCTTCTAACTGTAAAAAGCAAAATAAGACTGAAACAATTCCTTATGACTCACATCATCTACTGTGCAGACGTATTTCTATTATACAGAAATGACTGACTGTAAATTTTGTTTATAATTTGGCTTTTATATATGTTGGTTATAATCCTGTGTCTTCTGTTAATGTTATGAATATGTGTATATATCAGCCGGGATAGCACAATATGTATAGTGACTGGTTACAGGCTGGATGACTGGGGGGTCAGAGTACCAGTCCCAGGGTACCAGGTTCTTTCCCCAGAGGTAAACCAGCTGGGGCATGAAATTGACCACTCATCTCCAACTAGTGCCAAGGTCAAGATAACATATGTCTATACATCCACTCCCCCATATGTCTTCATGGCATAGTATTTAAATAGTTAAGCACAGGAACAACTTTACCTTTCATTATATATACATAATTTTACATTGTGGCATGCAGACCCCTTGCTGGGCAACAACTGTGAGATAAGCAAATACAGAACAGCACTTGCTAAATAATAGCTTCACAAAGAGGCGTATTTCCTTGGCAACAATTAGGCAAGGCAACAGAGGAACAGTGTTTTCTGTGTCATCCGTGCCAAGACGTTATAAGCAGGACATTTGATGAAATGAAGTCAGTTGAGTTGAATGAAGCGAAGGAGTTGGTTGGTGCATGAGTGAGTAACTTAGAGAACTGCTTAGGTTCACTCATTGTAAACTGTTGCTCTGAGAAGGTGCTAGCCGAGGCCATGGACAGTTCAGGAACCCAGAGGAAAGGAGATGTCCGCCATGGGAAGCTGCTACTGAGCAATGGTCAGTGACGACATGACTGTGAGCACTAGTGTGTCTGTGTGCATGCGTGTGTGTGTAATAGTGAATTGTGAATAGTGCACTGAATCAAAGAGTTCAATAAATCCAATCATCAATCTAAAACCCACCTACAGGCATACTACATATCATATGACAATATATATGGAAATAACCTATGTGTACATACTTGTATACCTGTACAGATAACAAATTAAGTGTGTAGAACTTAAGTGTATAGTTATTTTTTTTACTTTCTATGCTGAGTTGGTAATAAATGTATTCTGAATGTAGTGAAATTCTAGCTGTCTTTAAATATGCTGTAAAACTGCTATCCAACTGTTAATGCAACTGTGTATGTAATACAATCTACTGTATTTTGTTCTCTGGAAATGTTCTGTAACTTTAAAGTATTTCTATGTATGTAAGATTTGAGGCTTTCACGGCGGTGAGTATGAAGAAAGCAGTCTTCTGGGATTTGGCACTGTGTATATGTGGTGTTAACCGACGTTTCGGAGGAACGTATCGCCTCCATCTTCAGGGTAGAAGAAAAAATATAAGAAATCTGCAAAGCAAAGAGACCGTCAGGGTCTCTACTAAAATTTGCAGTTATACTTTACTCATAATTTTTGTATGATTGCCAAAATGTTTTTAAATATAGAATGGATATTTTGTCCAGTTCCTACTGAGAAGCTGGTAAATTCCTGAACTGCATATATTGACAAACAGAGGAAGCCAACATACTGGTCTTTTGGAGTAACAAGGTATGGATACACACCACACACATACATAGCATGTATCATGCTCACCAACTGAAAATGACATAGTTTTCGCAATTCCACAACATAAACTGTATCCTACCAACATGCAGAGAGGTATCACTATGAAGAAAAGCTACAAGAACCACATACACATTACAAAGAACCATGCAAATTTAATCTGTGTAACTCTTTCAACAACTTGCAGGTTGAAAAAATAATGCAATATGTTCATTATGTAAACAGTTCATGTCATGTCAGGTAAAAATGAACAATTATAAACTACTTTTAATTATTTATTTTATCTTTTCTTGTTCTTATGTTAAATGTGTTCATCTTTGTCCTGTCAAAGATATAAAAAAACCTCTAATAATACTAGCAAGATATAGGTGACATCCCACTTGAAGGCTATGCCCCCCCCCCCAAGGACCATATAGACCTTAAATTGGATATGACTTACAGACTAAGATCCAAAATCTCCACTGTCCCTGTAACCCTAAAATGAAGGTAATATCATCAAAGACCCCATATCACTCTGGTAATTTAAACAAATTATAGAACTTAATTGGCTGACTGAGTTAACACATACTTCTCACAACTGCAAGTATGAGAATGCCACATTTCTTTCACTCATTTGAAAAAACTCAGTAAGAGTAAACAATAGAGAATAATATTATACATTATTCAAAATGAGAATTTAGTTTTCTTTGATGACCAGAATTAAATTATACAACCATTAACATAACACACATGCATTTCCACCTACCAAAATACAACATAGAAGAACCAGAACATTCCCATATACATACTAAATATCGTACAAAATGTGACCAATACAAGAAGTTAATGAAAATCAGTACATGCTTAATTACCACACTCTACATCCTTTATAAGCCAGTATATATATATTTTCTTATGTTTCGTAAAAAATTCTCATAACCATCACAAATACAGCAGCTCTCCTGCACTCTTGAATAGTGTTCTCACACACTGCCTTACACAAAACGAAGAAACCTATAAATTCAGAACCCTAATTATGCTTATTCCAAGACTGATGTATGTAGGAGGTTCAGAAATTTATTTTACTTCTATTCTAATAGAGTTTGGGATACCCATGAAACTAGTTAGGTTCATTAAAATGTGTTTAAACGAAACGTAAATTCTGTGTAGGTCTGATAAATTTCCTATCCAGAATAATCTAAAACAAGGAGATGCTTTATCGCCACTCCTTTGCAACTTTGCCTTGGAATATGCAATTAGGAAGGTCCAGGGAAACCAGGTGGGACTGAAATTAAATGGGACACTTCAGCTGTTGGTCTACGCCGATGATGTGAATCTACTGGGTGATAATGTAGATACCATAAATAAAAAAACATAAATTTTAATTGATGCAAGTAAAGAGGTTGGTCTAGAAGTAAACACAGAGAAAACTAAGTGTATGTTACTGTCTCATCACCAAAATGCAGGGCAAAATCATGATATAAAGATAGGAAACAGATGTTGTGAAAATGTAGTACAGCTCAGATATTTGGGAATGATAACAGATCAAAACCTGATTCAGGAGGAAATTAAGAGGCGACTGAACTAGGGTAATGCTTGCTACCATTCAATCCAGAACCTTTTGTCTTCTCGTCTGCTGTCCAAAAACATAAAAATTAGAATATACAAAACTACAATTTTGACTCTGGTCCTGTATGGATGTGAAACTTGGTCTCTGACATTAAGGGAAGAACATAGACTGAGGGTGTTTGAGGAGAATATTTGAACCGAAGAGAGATGAAGTGACAGGAGGTTGGAGAAAACTGCATAATGAGGAACTTTAACTTGTATTCTTCTCCAAGTATAATTAGAATGATCAAGTCAAGGAGGATGAGGTGGGCAGGTCATGTAGCACGAATGGGGGAGACAAGGAATGCACATAGGATATTGACGGGAAAGCCAAAATGAAAGAGACCACAGGGAAGACCAAGGCGTAGGTGAGTGGACAATATTATAATGGATCTTAGAGAGACAGGGTGGGATGATATGGATTGGACAGATCTGGCTCAGGATAGGGACCAGTGGAGGGCTCTTGTGAACACGATAATGAACCTTCAGGTTCCATGAAATGCTGGGAAATTCTTGAGTAGCTGCTGAATTGGCAGCTCCTCCAGAAGGGCTCAG